ATTGTTTTGAAAAGAAAATAATAGTTATCATTGTTCCTGGTAAATAATTAACAAATTTATATTGAAACAAAACAAAATCTAATACAAATTACGAAACAAACATTAGTAAAATAAATAATCTAACAAATGCATGAATAGTAAGACACATTTATCATTGTTTTGAAAAGAAAATAATAGTTATCATTGTTCCTGATAAATAATTAACAAATTCACGTTTAAACAAAACCCAAACTCTGCTGTGCCAATTACGAACAAAAATTCTTCAAAGGACAAAAAATATGTAACGAAAGTAAGAACGGTAAGACGCATTTATGGTTGTTAGAAGCGTGTTACAACTATAGTTCAAGAAATTAGGTCAACGTGCAATGCAAGACGCGCGTTGACCTTTCGTACTGACCAACAAAACCAGTAACGAACTATGACTTCGATGTACCCTGATCCCTTTCTACTATAATTATCATTTATTCATATATTTTATTATATACAAATTATTATACAAACTTCAAAAAATCACCTAAATGATCCAGCAAGAAAATTTACACATTGAAAAAATATTTACAATGAAAATATTAAACAAAAGATACATTTAAAACATTTCATTTTACAACATAAGCTAAAACAATTTTTTTTTCTTAGTAATCCAGCAAGGAAAGCTACACTTTCAAAATATATTGCTTAAAAGATTTAAACGAGAGATAAACTTCATTATAAAATAATCTAACACAATTATATTTTAACTATAATTGATATAATTATACGAACATTTCGAATTGTTGAAAGAAAGTTGAAGATCAAAAAAAAGAAAAGAAATTACTTTGTATAATATTTGTCGTTGATAATTAAAATCTCTTATTGTTAGTAGTATAATATATTAATGTGAATCAAAAATGTTTGTGAATTTTTTTTTAATATTAATATTTCACACTCACGCATATATTAAGTATAATTATTTTATTTACTTAAAAAACACTGCATCTGATAAAACATCGCAATAATAAATTTGTTGTTTAGCTTAATATCGTAAGAAAAATTATAAAAACAAAAATTTCTTATTTTTATTTGATTTTCTTTTATTTTAAATTCTTCTGTATAAATTTATTAAGTTATTTCGAATAAACGTAATCCACCTCTTAAAAAGAAAAAAGAAAACTCTTCCTACTTGAAACAATCATCTGCAGTTTTGTGCATAAAAAAAGAAACATCAAAGTGTCGTGGATTTTTTATAAAATTCTTTGTGAATGTTTGAATTTATCTACGTCAAAGTAATATAAAGCAACAACGAACCGTAAAATTGCATGACGAGTTGGCGTTTGTCCAAGAACCAATCATACTTCACCTAATAATATTTCATTGAAGTTTCTCACGGAAATAATATAATATATAATCTTTTTTTTTTCTAAACTTTTCATTAGTTTGACATAACTTCGATGACAATTATTAAATCGATCTGTACAAATAATTATCTTGTACAGCATACTGTTTTGTCTGTAGAAAATAATTGTATTTACAATTATAGTTAGGCTTTTAAGAATGCGTTAGAGAGAACATAAAAGTAAAAGGAAAATATTATTAACCCGATGGCAATCTGTTTCTCGTTGTAAAACCAACTAACAAGCCAACTTAAATCTAACTATCTCGTGTTTAAGAGAACTTTTTTGTATTTCATTTTTTTATTCCGTTCTATTTTACTCGTACGTGGAATGTACGTGAGAATTTTTTTTTTTGTGTAACCAATAACAATTGAGAAATAAATATATAATATAATCATCGTAATAATCGAAGTCAAACATTTGACTATTATATAACTTTATATAATATATAATACAAAATTATATAATATATATAATACCTGGACCCCATAAATAATTTTATGAAATAACTGAAAACCCAAACAAGTTATTTCATATATAAATTAAGTAATAAATATACTTATACAATTATAAATCAATCTGCAAATGTTCATAAAATGTCAGAGAATGCAATGCTGTAAATTTTACTACTTTGTCAGTTATTTAAAAAAATTTCTGTAAATATTTTTTATGCTAAAAGTGAATAGATTTTAATAACACTTATACATTCTTTTACCTACGTGTAAAATACCTTATTGAGTTATAAATCGATTTGCAAAGGTTCAGATCATATTTCCTAATAAAATTATTATAAAATATTCTTGAAAAAAATAAACGAAAAATTGATTAACTTCATAAATATAAATATAAAAATAAATATAAAATGATAGAAGTATAAATATTTGTCTCATGTTAATCCAATTGAAATGAAATTAAATGTTTATACAAATTTTCTATTTCATTTTATTTCATTTTATTTTCTTTTCCAAATAAAAATCCAATCTAAAAAATTAATTTATTATCGCGAAACAATCATCGAAATAATCGAAGTAAAAAAACATTTGACCGAATATTAAATTTATGACAAATATCTAATCGAATTTACAAAAATATTATATCGTTAAATAAGTTACGAGTTTAAATACGTGTATTCATTTTTCGTATGAAGAAAATTGAATAATATCTATGCGTACATATACATATATATATGTACGTGCGTGTTAGCATGATTTCAAAGCGTAGGATGTGAGAATGCACGCATGCGAATAGCGTGTTGTTGTTGTGCACGTAGGACGAGCATAAAAACACAAGAAGGAAGAGATGAAACTTTAATTCTGGGACACGTATGCAACAACAACGGAAGGAAATCAAATGATAGTTAAGATAATAACTTTAGATGATAATATTTCGTGATTTGTTTCTAACATTTTTCATTTCTTTTTTTTTTTTAGAAAAATATACACAAAATTTAGGTGAAACAAAAGTTTCATTTTTTAAATTAATATTTCCAGAGTAAATTTTGCAGAAAAAAAAAAATACCGTCATGTAATTTATAAGACAATAAATATTAAGTGGTGAAGCTTTGTTTTATTGTTGCTCGTTTTATCTACGAACCCCCCAAAATTATCTTCCCACCCTATACATTTTTGTTTTTTTTTAGAAAAAATACACACAAAATTTAGGTGAAACAAAAGTTTCATTTTTTAAATTAATATTTCCAAAGAGTAAATTTTACAGAAAAAAAAAATACCGTCATGTAATTTATAACACAATAAATATTAAGTGGTGAAGCTTTGTTTTATTGTTGCACGTTTTATCTACGAACCCCCCAAAATTATCTTCCCACCCTATACATTTTCTTCTTTTTATCATTCTATGGCAACGTAAAAGAAAAATACCCACCGGTGGCTCCATTTTTGATGGGTCAGACTCTTTCATTGGCTGCACACTATAATTACGATAACTATACCCAAGGTCTTTCTATTAAATCGAGGAATTTGGGGACTCGGCAATTTTCGGTTCACCATCCGACTTTGAAAATTTCAATCGGTTTCCAACTAACAACAACTTGTAGTCCGAAATTTTCACATAGTTTGTTTTATATTTTTTCTTTACCTCTCAACAATAAACAAAATCATTAATGTATTATTATACTCTTGTTGAAAGTTAGAAGATTAATTAAAGTTCTTGCAAAGTTTTAAGATGCATTTTAAGATAATCATCCCGCCTACGTGTCGAACTTATCGAAAGTGCTATTGAACGAAGTACTCTTTCTTAATTACTTTGTGTTACTATACACACATACACACACATATATATATGTATAAAACTCACCAATGAGACTGATCGTTGTTCCAATTTAACACCACTGCGATCGTCTTTATCGTCACCACAATCCGTCGTATAAAACAGTACACTTTTTTTCGAACCTCTGTAATCGAAAAATACAAAACAACAAAATAAACAATTATACATATATAAAATTAAGTGATTTTATAATCGAGAAATAACATTAAAAATGAATTAATTATGTATAAAATATGTTTAAGAAAAACTGTAAAAAATTCATCTGTTTCCAACTTTGTCGAAAGGCCCTTTGCATTGTTGACAATGCTTAGGAATTATTAACAATGACGGATTTCCGGCTTTGACAATAATATATATATATAATCAAATAATTTATTTGATGCATTTGTAAGTATAGTTAATATGAAAAAAATGAAGTATTATATATACAATGAAATAATTAATTAAGTATACTTATAAGTATAAAATCTTTAGTATACGATTTATTATTATAAATCAGTTGACTTAGGTTAAAGATAATGTATTGAAAATAATGAAAATCCTTAAAAAGATAAATCTTTTTTCCTTTAAGTACAAGTATGATAATTTGAAAGTTACACCAGGGTGTATTACAAAAGATTAACATTGACGAGCGTGTAAAAACTTAGAAATTGATAGGATTATCGACTCAACGATGCGGGCTTTGATGGGTTCTGAACGCTCTGAACTTTGATGACTCGTTAATTCTCATCTAAGTTTAACCTGAAGATGTTTATAAATGCGTGTGCTCTCCCGTGTAATATTAACTTTAATAAATTATTATAACCTGCGATATTCGCAACAAAAATACAAATAAAAATAAAAATAAAATATTAGAAGAAAAGAATCAAAGGTTAAACCTTCTTTGCATGATGATGGAAATTTCAATCATAATATTTAGTCAAGAAAAAAAGGTACTCAAAACCCTTGTACTGTATATTTGTTGTTGCTGGCAACTTTTTAAGCAGCTATTGCGTATAACAAAAAATAGCACTAGGATTTTTGTTTAAATATTTTTCCTATAATCTAGAGCATTAATTACATCACCCTGATTTATTTTAAAAGAAAAGAAAAAATCATGCAAAGAAGGGTTAAATAAAGATATAAAAAAAAAGAAATAAAACGCGTTTGAGAGTATAGGTGTTAAAGTTGTTTCTTTTTTTTGGTTGGTTGGTTGTTGTTGTTGTTTGGAAGATAATCACACCTGAGTGCCTTCCCATTCCTGCTGAACGGTTGACGTTCGGCTACGAGCGTGGCTGGACCGGTGTAAACCCGGCTCTCGCTCATGGCGAAGATCTTTCCAACATCTCACCTCCCTCTCTTAATCGGCTCACCACGAGGACATCTGTAACCAAGAAACCCTCCTTTTATTCCCTCACTTCGAAAGACTTAAACTTGAAAACCTTCTTCTTCTTCTTCTTGTTCTTCTTGTTCTTCTCCTTCGTCCACGAACACAACTATCTTACCATTTTTATTTCTAATATTATTCTTTTATACAAATAATTTTGTCAAACATTTTTATGCACTTTTCACAAAATTTTAGATATATATATTAAAATTATGATGTAATAATTAAGATGTGAAAAGAAAATCATGTTAATTTGTTAAATCTTATAATAGATCCGAAAATATAAACGATTCAATTTGAAACATTTTCATTATAGGATAGGACCCAAAATATA